GAAGGCTGGGCCTGCAGCGCAATGAGCAGCTCTGTCAGGCTCCGTCAAGCATGCAAGAAAGCTGCAAATCCGTTGGACCAAATAATGCGCACAAACGCGGTCCGGATCGTACGACCACTTGACATGTAGACAATGAGCTGCAAAACACCCAGCCTGAATGGGCTGCTGCTCGACCTCACATTGGAGAAGGCATGGGGCCAAGAGAGTGCCCTAACCGCCCTAACCTAACATGGCCAGAGGGTCCAGTCTGAGGTCACAGATGAGCAACAAGCTGGCCAAGCAGAACAGGTTAGGCATAGTTGTTCTCCGTCAGGGATGAATCGTATGGTGCTGACCAAGCCGAGCGTCAGCATCAGGGACAGTCTGCTCTGCCGCATGAGCATCTCGAACATTCGGTAAAAAGGCCGCCGCTGAGTTCGGCTCATTGGCCACCGGAGGGGATGCAAGCCCGCATTGCGGGATTTGTGTGGATGGGTCAGCTTGTGAGCTGGCTCCCTCAACGTGGTCTGCTACAGGCGCCATGTGAGGGGCCACATCGGACTGTGTTGCTTTCGGCTTTGCCTCTTCCGGCTGCTCAGCTTGCTCTTGTACAAGCGGCTCGACTTGCTTGGCTTGTTCCTCTTGCTCCGCTTCTTCGGGCGCTTCAGGCAGCGCCTGCCGAGAAGGCGAGGACTGCGAGCTGCTGGACAGCTGCTGGCAGCTGGGTTTGTCGCTGGAGCCTTCTCCTGCAGGCAGTACACAATCACACTTCCGGAATATCCAGAAGTATTTGCAGTGTCTGGATCCAGCGAGCACACAAGACACCGTAGCTCCTGCGTCGATGCCCCCGCTATGCGATGAAAGTACCTCCTGCCTGGGTCTTACTTGGAAGAACAGACATTCACATAATGACGTGCGTGTTCCTGGCTTATTCTCAAGATGCAGAATCATTTTGAACAAAGGCCCAGTGGCGTCTGCATACGGAAGACTTCCTCGAACCAACAGCTGTGTAGGAACTCTCTAATTTCGAAACAGGTCACCAATGTCGGCCAAACAATCTTGGTCTTTCCTATCGCATACGTGGCTTGGCAAACACGACAACTTGAGGCTTCAGAACTGATGATAGATTCTACGCGTTGCTGGAACAGGTGTGACAACATGGTGCCCATGCAAGCAAGGCACGGTCTGGTTGCCCAACTCTAGCGGCCTGGCCAGGAATGTCTCGAACAATCAGATGAGCTGGCAAACAGCCAACCAAAATCATGGCACACTACTGCGGAACATTATGTGTTCCAGTCTTGCTCACAGCGTAGATATGGAAAATTGGCGGCCTTTTCCCTGAGGCCTAACGCATAGTAGCTCAGAGGCATATTCAGCAGGTTCTATAGTCTGTACATGATTGCCGATGCTCACTATTCCTACTGTACCCATCAACCTGCCGGAAGGGGTCCGGGCGTGCGCTTCTGACTGCGTGCTTACGCGGAAAACCGCTTTGGACGCGAAACTCTACAAAGACCGTCGGTTCCGGCTGTATTTTCTGAGCTAGTTCGTCTGCCAGTCTGCGCAGTCTGTCAGCCCACCCTCGCACCAGCTCCCATTTTCCCGATTCATCTGACCACAAGTTGGGAGGCTGATGATGTGTTTAGCGAGGCTGCCACATCCAGTGTCGCGGTTGGCAACAGTCATTTTGCCAACCGAAGCTGTAGGAATTGCTGTCGTCCTTGTAACCCTGGCTGCTACAGGCAGCACTGCTTGGCATGGCAACTTCCGCACCAGGATAGTCCACATTTCATGAACTGCCTTTAAGGCAAGGCCGTGACTCAAAACTCCTCAAAAATCTGTGAATGTTGTCACAGCGATCCAAAAGCAGAATGCTCAAATTTGCATCCAGGCAAGCGATGATGCAGCAAGAGAAGCGCATGCAATTCTCGGTCAAACCTGTGCATGTCGGTGAGGCAAAAGGCGTTTGCAATTGCAACGTGCTGAGCTCACGAGAAGGTGGCTTGGCACGGATCAGGAAATATCTGTAACACTTGCTCATCCGAAAGCAGTGACGCAAAACACGAGCGCGCGGAAAACAGGTTGAATACTTACCGGCCAGTGCGCGTCACCCTCCTTGCTGTGTTCTACTGATTGCCTGAGGTAGCGCGGGCGATGGCATTCAGTGTTGCTAGACCCATCGGGCCTGTCCGACAGCTCTGACAAGTTGGACATCATGCGCTTCCAATGGGCAGGCTCGGGCTCCTGCAAAGGGTCTACGACTAAGAAGCACATGTTGAAACTTCAGGCAATGGCTTGAGGTGTGATCACCTTCGGAACTTGCAACCTTTGCACAGGTGCAAACAGGTGCCGGACAAAAGCATCCGGAGTCTAATACGTCCAGGACCTATCTCGGTCTCCTCATCGGGCTGCTCCGTTGAAATCCTGCAGAAGCGAGTCATAACAAGCCTGAGCCCTTCTGCTGACAGACAACATGCTCATCAGGCAACCTGGCCAGGCTCCCTCAACTAACACTTGTATCCAGGCTTGGCGTCCAAAGACGTGGCAAAGTGACTGCTTGCATGCCACAAATCACAGGACTTCCCCACCCGTCCTGAACATCTGAACCACTGCGCGCTTCACTGTGGGCTCGCGCTCGGCCAGTAGCGGAAGGTCCTGCGCCTGAATCATTCAGCGCTTGCTGAGAAGGTTTTGGCCTCGGTTTGAACAACAGATGCGGTGGCCTTGGCCTTGCCACGCCGGCGGTGGACCGCCAGGGCAGCCAGGCTGAATGCCGCCAGGGACAGCAGCACAGACGCGAACCAACCAAGTCGGGAACTGCAAGGCATCCACAGCTCATGCCATCATTAGATCCACGAAGTAGCGACCTGCCTGGAAACGTCAGGCTCACGTTGCTCCGGCTCGTGCACCGGCAAGTGAAGCTGCTCCTTATGCTCTTTCAACTCCCCTACAGCACAATGGCAGCGCAAATGGCCAAGGCAGCACACAGTAAGCAAACTGCACCATCTTCATAGGCTGCTTGCCAATTGAAAGCCAGGCGGCAGCCACCTCTGTGGCCTCCTCGCCCAGTTCGGTCGCCAAGGTTTCAAGGTGAGCCTTGTGAACAGCAAGAACCAACCAGCCAAACGTTGAGCAAGCCCAGGCCTTGGAGAAGAAGGCCCAAATAGCAGCTGCGACTGTCACCTTGATTGCAAGCTTTACGCCCCAACACAGAAAAAAGCTCACCTAACTTTTCACACACAACAGCCGTCGAAGCATCCAGAGCCGAGCAAAGCTACAAGAGCAAGCTTCGCACAAGCTTCACTGGTCTACCGGCCGCCGGCACTGTGATGCATTGATCCGAGCTCTCGATTAATGAAGCAGCGCACTTTCAAAGTATTTTTGGGGGGCATAAGGGGTCATCAAACTTGGTCTGGTAAGCTTCCAAGTCAAGATGGTAATTCACCCGAAACCGGAACACACGACGAGCGTCAAGGTGAGCCTGTACGATTAGCCAGAGGTCAGCATGTGGAGCTTCAGTCTTCAACTTGCCGGCTTTTATGAGGCGCGTTAACGTCCTAACAATTATCTAAGAGTACCACTTGAAATCCACGTTATTTGCCGTGGAATCTAGAAGAGAGGTAAATGCGTAAAGTTCAGCTCGTGGCACATTTTGTACTTAACGTGATGTGCGCTTTTTGTGGAAGCCGACGTGTTTATAGCTCATTATTCTGGGGGGGCGGGGCCTTGTTAATCAATAGCTCGATTAGTCTTCAAATAACAGCTTGGCAGCGTGATTATCCTAGTGCCAAGTGATGCATCTTCCCACCGTGTCCGCAGGCTGGTTTGCCGGCTGTATCCCGTGCTGGGAAGCGAAAGGATAAGTTAAGACCCACGCGCTGGGAGGCAGCAGCTTTGCATATTGCCGTAGATGTCCTGCCCCAGGTAACTCTTACAGCTGGACTGCCGAGAAGCGGCACATGGAAGTGTTCCAGTAGCCTCTACATAGAATTTCATCGCCTGGAGATGGTAGTGTCAGTGTCTTGTGAGAATTTCGGCGGCGATCATCAACCCATCTGCACCAATTAGATGCTTGAAGGAGACGTCACATTTAAGGCTTAAGACTGTTACAGCGTTTCTGCCAGGATGATAGCAATCTTGCATGTTGGTTTAGCTTTTGATATTGCCTGAAACCTTGAGCAGGACCTGTCTGCTTGCCCTGGTGCGGCTGTAGCTTGTCAAAGACATTGTTGTGCTGCCATATTCGGTGGCACGTTGACACCACGGCATGAGCAGTGCTTGCCAGCTTGTCATTGTCAGACTGTCGACTCAGAAAAGCACGACAGCAGCGTCAAGAACTTTATGGCTATGACATTCTGTGCAGCCATTTGTTGCCATCTTGCCGTTCGAAGGTCATCAAACATCATCAGATACAGGATCATGGGAGTATCAACTCACCGGTCCAGGCGCTTTGATTGGCGCAGGTGGTGTCTCCACGACAAACAGGGAGGAGGTGACAATGTCAACCTGCCCAGCGCAGACCACCGTGCGTGTTAAAACGAGCCCGTCTTTCCAGTGCTTCAAGAGCCTGACCTGGACACGCATCGGATTTCTAATATTTCTAATGGCTTCCCTCGGCCTCGCCGGACAGCTGCACCTCGGCGCCTGACAAATGCTGCATTTGACCCTGCTCTCACGGATGCCAATCACTCTTTACACGGCCTGCAGCCAGTCCAAGTAGAGCCTCAGAAATTTGCAACATGGCTACCTTTTGAAGGAAGGAGTCACGAAGCTGTCGAAGCAACGCACGTGAAATCACAGGAAGCACAGCTGCATCGCGAGCTCTAACGACCTCTGCCAAGGAGCAAATATGACCAGCGCTGCCATCGCAGAAGTCTTCAACTACCAAGACCACTACAGACTTGATCCAAGCTGCGGAAGTATGTTGAGCTGGGTACGGCTCAAGGGCCTCATACTTTCATTACAGTGGCACTGCATAATCAAGTCACACAACCCATGTCAGTTGCGAGATGATGGACTGCCTATGTATGGCTTGAAGTACTCACGCTCGCGGCGCTCATTCTGCTCCTGACCAAGACATATACACGTGATCACAGCAATAAGGAAGCTGTATCTAGAATTGCCGGAATTGTGCTCTGCCTTGTCCTTAGCAAGCTTCTCGGCTTTTGCTGCTGCGTTTGCAGCAGCGACTGATGCTGACACTGCTGCAGCTTCTGCTGAAACAGTCGGCGCTGCTTTGGGCAAGGCCACCTGCAGTGCAAAAGGCATTCATTGCAGGAAGCGCATGGAGTGTACAATGGCTCAGAAGGTCATCAGCTGGCAGGAGTTCCAATACGCCCTTCACGGTTGCTGCTGCTTTTGTGTGTCTGAGGGGGATGGGGAGCGCCGCACAACGCATAGGGAAAGTCACGTGCTCCTGTGCATCATGGGTTGTGCGGCCTGAGGAGAAGCCGGGGGCTTCGGCTTTTCCCTTGGCACTTCTGACCTGCCACAATCTGAGGGATTTGCTTTTAATGCCTGTACACTCACCGAACCCCGCCTCCGCTCCTTCTTGGGCGGCAGCACTTCAAGAACTTCAAAGCAGCCAAGGCGAAGACTGGGCAAAGCTGAGGGTTGAGATTTTGGTGGCTTTGTTTTTGGGTGGGGGTTGCTTTTTTTGTTTGGTCGGGTTGGGTAGCAAGGAGGGATCATGGAGGGGGAATAGGGTGGTGGATGGGGGGAGGGGTGTTCATTTGCATGTCATGCAGAATGCTGGAACAATAGCGGGAAATCGTGGAAACCACATAAATACAGCCCCGGAAAATCACAACATACATGATAAAAATGATGAAAATTATTCCCCACCCTCGCAGTGGGGTTGTTAGACTTTAAAGCAGATGTTGTCCTCGCCCGACTGG